AGCTCGGATGACCGGGCGTAATGAAGGCTGCGCCGATTTTCGTGCAGCTTACCGCGATCTCCGGCCGCCCCGCGCCGCCTCCACGGGGATCATTACCATCATTACGGTCTCCAGCGGGGAGTAAAAATAAACCCGACCCGGTGCATCTGGAGCAACCCGCGTGGCGGCTTGACGGACGGGGTGGGTGTGTGCTACTCCGCGCCCCCGCCCCCGCCGGGCGCTAGCTGAGCCGCATGTTCTACGCGGATGCGGGCCCGGTATGTTAAGCAGGACAGACGGGCCCCCGGCGCGGCGGGCCCGACCTAACCCCTGCCCGCCACCACACCCGGCTCGCGCGCCGCGCCGGCCGCAGCCCTGGCCTGGTCTGTGGCACTTTGACGAATCGGCGGACTCGCGCCACGCATATGTGCGTCCAGGTGTTTGTCGGGGTCCCGCTGCGCGCGAGCGAGCGCCGCCGGCAGCGGCCGCGACATGGGGAATGACGCGCGGCCGCGGGGTGGCCGACGTGGCCGTCGTCGTGGAGGTGCATGACGCCGAGGTGCGGGCCCTGCGGGTCACGCGGGCCGCTGCTGGGCCGGATCACCTCGACGGGCAGGTCTGCTAGCCCGGGGTCCCCCGCAGGCATCGACACCTCCACGCCACGCCACGTCAGGCGTATCGATTTGACGCCGCGCTGATCCCGCCCTCCTTTTAAAATGGAAATTCACGCCGTTTCGCGCGATTGGTTTGTGGCCACGGGCGATATATCCACACCAGGCCGTCGAATCGTCGGAGGAGAGAGGGGTCGGCCCGTGGGAGCAGAGGGGGCCGATCGGCACGGCCACGGGGCGGGGCTGGCGGCGCGGGCGGCGCGCTCACTCGCTCCGTCGTCCGTCGCGCCGTCGCACGACAAGGACGGCTGTCCCTCGGACGCAGCCCCCGCTACCCGTGAGCCCGGCCGAGCAGCCCTGATAAGTAATGATGCAACGGGGCCAGGGCGGCGGCCAGGGCTCGGGGCGGGGGAGACCAGGGGAGACCTCCACCCCCTGCTGCCGGCTCGGGTCCGGGACGGCCGCGCCGCACCACGGCGCGCCACGCTTCTAATGAGACGCCCTTGCCTTGCTTCATTTGCAGGCCGGATTCTGTTTTGGTGCGCGCCCGGTGCGGTGTTGGTCCGCACCACGGCGTGCGCGTGCACCAACCGCACACCATGGACCATGGCGGGGGCCGCGGGCAGGTGGTGCCGCGCCGCCTCCGCTCCGCTGACTGCGCCCTGCTCCCGGACGAGCGCCCTAATGGATGTAATAAAGCAATTGAACTCTTGGCCGGTGCGTCGTCCTGGCCCCGGCGGGCTCCGGTGGTTGGTGCGACGCGGTGCACGACAACAACGCCGCGCGCCGCGTTGCCACACTCGGACCTGTTTGTTGTTTCGCGTTCTAATTGTAGGTTTGCGGCATTCCCCTCTGATTTATGCGTGCTAATCCCCTGGCCCGGCCCGGCCCGGCCGGTGAGCAGCCCCGTTGTAATGGCCAGTACGGCCCGCCGGAGCCCGGCCCGGCACGAGTGATGACAGTACACCACACCCGGGCGGGACGGAACGGCCGTCCTCCCCCTCTGCGCTTTATCTCGGCTCCCCCGCCCGCCGCTTTGCACGCGACCCAATCGCGATGAGGTCAGCGAGGTGGCGGACCGAGCTGGGCCCCGCCAAATCGAGGCATGGCGACCCAGGGAAGGACTTCCCCTCTCACAAGCTGGCTGATGTACCCTCCTGTTGTTGTTGGTTTTTTGTTCTGGGCGGAGCGGGGAGCGGGGTTTCTGATCTCTCTGGTGCAGCTCGATCCGCTGGTGCGAGGCCCGTCCGTCTATCAACTCTAGGTTCAGGAATGGGTCCAGAAATGTTCCACCACAATTCAACATTTATGTTTATTGATGAAACAATTGGAATGTGTGAAAAACACATACATCATGCAAAATAAAAACAATAATTGTAGTAGTAATATTGTAGTAATAATAATGATAATAGAAATAAAAGCATAACAGACGTGTTTTTTAATGAAATAATGCAGATAAAGCGTAACATTCTAAAATGATGACAAATAATGAGAGTTGACAAGATTGAATTAGCCCCGAAATAATAGTGTCTTTGCAAAATGCAACCTTGTGAATTATGAAGCGATAAAAGAGCTGACCCAACCAAAACTAGACAAAGTTAGCGACAAAATCACCCAGATAGAGCAAACTCCTCATAAAATTTGTAAAACAAAACACAATTAATGTTTGCTTAAAAACAAAACTTTTTCAGTGAGCTGGCAAAACATGCATCTCAACATGAAGTTGCTAGACTAACAATAAACAAACTACTTGCAACTGGACTCATAAAATACCATAAATATCACAAGAAACATTTCAGTATCCAGAACTTTAATTAACTGAATGCACTTAGGCTAGAATCACTCAGGTTCAACTAATACCGGAGAGAAAATAAAATAACACTGGGGACAAGAATTTTCAATTACCTATTTAACAATATTATTGCCCCATAGTTCCTTCATATTATAATTTGTATTAATGTCAATGAAGAAACAATTTTACTTTCAGGACACTTGCACTATATTGTCTCTCATAACTTTACAAACAGTTTTTAATAAATGTTAACCAACAGTCCTTTCAAAACTTGAAAAAAAAATTACCACCATGATGTCAATGATAGCTAAAGGTGCTATTGGACATTCACCTCTGATAAACACTATGTCCTCTACAAAAGCAATGTGACATTTTGTGATGCAGATCTTGTGCAGATCCATTTAGTGTATCCATTCATACATCTGTCTTGGTACTGACACTGGCTAGTACCCCAAACTTCATCCTCGTTCCCTCACTGAATACTATGTCATACAGAAAATACAATCATGCATAGTAATAAAATATCATACATATCATCTGCACAATCTCACAATCTACACAGGCCACTTCATAGAATCATTTTTTCCTGCTCTACTAGCACCATGTGCTGCAAGTGGTCTAGGATTTTCACAATCATCACAATTAGAGTATGTTACATACAAGCCACTTTTAAAAATCAGTTGAAGTCATTTAGAGCAAAAAGTATTAAAATATGGCTCAAAAGATAAATTTGTATGTTACTTCTTATCTCAGTTTTTGAAGACACAAACCCAGATTAGTCGACAATCAAGGTAGACTTCATTGAAACTTAATTTAAGAACTGGTTTTCAGAAAATATATTTAAGATTTTGTGAGACTAAAGCCAAAAAGTCATCACTAAAAAGGTAAAATGTACTGAAGTGGAAAAAATTGGAAAATTTTACCCATTCCAGTGAATTTATAAGTAATTAATTAATGAAAATTTTTAACAATGATGGCCCAAGCAAGTTGTATTTCCAGACTAAAAGCAGCTTATATAATCTCTGAGATACAAGAACAGCTGTTACTGCTCCTTCTTGCCAGTTGCATGGTGGTAGGATGGAGGTGGTTCCTGAAATTACAAAACATCTTGAAAATGAGGAACAGGGGCAGAGAGGTCATTTAGGTATTAGGTCTAAGTACTGTAGAACCACAAACACAAGTGCACTGTAAAATTAGTAGCCTCCTTTGAATACAACGCCAAAATATCCAAAGTGGCCAATGTGATAATTGTGGAATGTTACTTACATAGTATGATGGGGGTGGAACGTAGGCACATTGTGGTTTATTTGGGTCATAGTAAGCACTCTGAGCTGCTTCAGCAGCTTTAGCATCTGTAGAAATCAATCAATCAAGTCAATCTTACTTTCCCAATAATTGTACTAATACAGCATCTAAAATAGATTTATATACATACTGTATATATTTATGATAAAATTTCTTACCCTGTGAAGAAGTATTCTGGGGCATGGTAAAGCCTGCTGCTCCAGGAGCAGATGGTGCATTAGCATATCCATTGTACCCATTGATTCCAGGATACGGGAGAGGCATGTCGGTCATAAACACTGAGTTTGCTGTTTTCAAAGAACATGAGAGATGGAAACAAGATATAAAAAGATACACAACACTGAATTTTTAAAATAGAGTAGTAAAACACTAGTGAAATACTGACGTGCAGGGGCTTGAGGAAAAGTGTCAGTGGGTGGAACCCATCCATAGTAACCCGTAGGATTTGGTGCATAGGCTGGTGGTGGGGCAGCATACCAGGGTCCACTTGGAGGTACATATGGAGGTGGGGCATATCCAGGAGGACCCATTCGCATGGCTAAAAATTAGAGTAAATAACAATTAAAGAATTAATACAAATGATTGAGAAAATTTGTAGTAATTTGACAGTTGACAAAAGCTCAATTACCCATTTGAGCAGCTTTCAGCATGGCTTGTCCAAATTCAATACAACCTCCAGATTTAAACATAAGCTTAAACTTTGCTTCCCCGAGCCAGTTCCCATTAGGTTGGGCTCTAACTTTTCCTTTGATGTAGTTTGCACCAAAAACTGGCTGTTCAAGTTCAACCTGATGACAATAAAAGAAAAGAATACACTTAACTCTACCACAGGTAATTAAAAGTAAATGTTTGACAGAAATATTTAAAATGTATTCAGTACCTCACTAATGCTGACAAATGGGAATGAAAAGGAGACCATTTTGTCTCCACTATTTCTGTTGTTGAAGATCATGCGATGCGTTGTCAGATACAGACGACCTCGTTTACTACCACGGAATTCAGCCTGATCCACACCATGAAACTCCATGGTGACATCATCACAAAACAAGAGAATCCTGCAATTGGTTTCAGACTGGAGATTAGTTATCAGACCCAAAAAATATTGTTTCATGAACCAATCTATGACTTTTGCACTTTGCCCACTCAATTTACATGAGAAAACTAAGCTGGCACCAAAAATACAATTTCAATGAAATGAGCCCTACAGAAGTTTGACGAAGCAAAATGAATTAGGGATGTGACAAATTGCTGGTAAACATGAGTATCTTTATGGCATACTTCACATCTAATCCTCATTTCACTAAAAATAAACATTGCACAACAATAGCAAACAGGTCAAAACCAACCATATCACAGTGAGGTTGTAGCATTGCAGCCAAGGGAGACAGATATCCGAAAAAGAAATGTACTACATATATTGAGGAACAAATTTCAACAGAGTTGACACATTAAGGAGTAAGCCTGATCACAAATTAGGAACTGTCAACGGATAACCTATAAGAACTAGGTATGCCAACAAGTAAGATAACACTTTCCTTGATGCCTCGAGAAATCACAGAACTTTAAAATGTCCTTAAAAGCTTCCATTATGAAACATTGATATTTTACGCTACGAAAAAGTGCAATTTTTTTAACGCCAAACTACGGACAAATTATCCAGAAACTTCCAGACGTCACAGTGAATCTTAAGACGAAAGTTTTGACGTTAAATTTGTGTTGGAATGCTAATCGATAAAATAACACATACTGTTCACCCAGGTGAATAAGAACGCCGTCGTTGGCGTGAGCAGTATTTAAAGACATTGTCAAGAACGCCGATAAATTGCAATTTCACAAAACAATCTCAACTTTAGTTTTGCGCTGCTGACTGCTGCTAGGGCACTTTCATCTGTTGAATCCATTCATGTCCATGCAGGGAAACTGTCACAGCGAATCAAAATTAAAAGGCAGGGAATAACACCCCAAAATTTTGTTGACTAAGGCTAGTCCTTAAAAATTGTTTTTATTTGATGTCGAGATTAAGATAATTAACCAAGATTTTTCTTAGATTCTCAGAAGATCGAAACCCACGTTTTTTGCTGTTTAGAGTTCGAGTGTTGGCTAAGCTGAATTTCTACTGCTGACGTCCCGTAGTCTTTTGGCGCAGAAAATCAATGGTCTTGGACATGCGTACCACGGGTCTCCGAAACATGTTGGAAGAGAACTACCCCCCGCAGATATCTTGTCTGTGCCAAAGAGTGACGCATTATTTTTGTGACTCTCTTTTTAAAAGTTAACTGTGATGGTTTACACCTTAAGCAAGCTCTTGGTTTTGTCGTTGTAAGGTAGATTGAGGGGTATCATGTTTTGTTCTGCTATTTGAAATTCTCTACGTGTCGCAAATATGAGTGCTTTAGGGATGGGGGCCGAAATCGAGGATTTGGACAAAGTGGGCATGGGTTATTTGATGCTTGACAGCAAAGCACATAAAAAAGTTTCAGATTTTAAACCTAGTACCGAAAAAGAGTGGACTTCTCGTCAAATGTCGCCCCCCGGTGATAATTGTAACTGTATATACTACTCCCTAATATTTGCGGGTGTTGGATTTCTTCTTCCCTACAATAGGTAAGAAATTCAATCCCATTTTGCACTGGCATTTTGTTTTGGATTACTGATGTGTTTATTTTATTTTTAGCTTCATTGTTGCTGTTGATTATTTTCAAAGTCAATACCCCAACACAACTATAATATTTGATATGAATATTGTGTATATATTCATGGGCTTCTTTGCAGTTATAGTGAACAATCTACTTGTAGAGACCTTGTCACTCCACACTCGAATTACCTTTGGTGAGTCCTATTTTCATATTTATGTCATTGTCGTCCACGTTTTGCTTAACTTCAATTACTAATGGCCCATCGCGTTTATTTTTTTTGCCACACAGGTTACATTGTCTCCTTTTCCACACTACTATTTGTTGCAATTTGTGAAATTTACTTGGGTTTGTTTAGCATCCATACTTCTTATTCCATAAACCTTATTGCCATGGCAGTATTGGCTATTGGTTGCACAGGTAAGCCACCAAGTTAGATTGTGCTTTTAAATTTAATTGACAAACAATCAAAGTAATGAACAAATAAAAACGTTGTCTCACCTTGTCATTTCCAAAATATTGAATTTTGTTATCTTTGGAATTAATTTTTAGTTCAGCAGTCAAGTTTTTATGGCTACACAAGTATGTTGCCCTCCCGTTACACTCAAGCAGTCATGGCTGGTGAAAGTAAGTGTTGGAGATTATCTTCACTTGAATTTTTAATTTTGATAAATACCTTTTTTGTTTTATTTTTGTTTTCTTTTAACAGGTGCTGCTGGCTTTTTTGTGTCTTTCATACGTATTGCAACTAAGCTCATGCTGCATGACCAGAAAGAAAATACTTTGATATTTTTCTTAATATCAATTGCTATGGTTGGTTTGTGCTTTGGTCTACACCATACTATACGCAGAACTGCTTTCATAAAATACTACATAATGCTGTGCCAAGAGCGAAAAATAACTCTTGAGCCAACTGAAGATGCAGGTTTGGTAAGTATCCTCCATCCAACATTATTTGTCAACACAGCAAAAATTTTCACTCTCATAATCTGATTGTTTTTAATTTAAAGATGGAGCCACTTGAAACTGAAAGTGGGTCTCGTAGCCAATATGGTGTGCTAAAACTACAGCAAAGCCCTCGGGAACCAGGAATATCAGGTTTCAGCTTTGCCAATCCTGTTTATGAACCTACTGGTGCCCCACCCACTCTGCCTGTAACAGCTGTAACTGCAGCTGCTGTAGCACAAACAAGTGGTTCACCGGAGAAAACCTCAGGGCCCTCATACAAAGTGGAGGATGTGGTAGTTCAGACACCTAAAGATGTAACTGCCCGAGCTAGACGACGACCGTCATTAGCAGTCCGTGGTTTCCGAAGTTAGTTCCTCATATGTAACATATTTAACATATTTTTTTTTACATTTTCATCAATTACGAATCTTTCAGGGGGATTGGAGACTCGCCTGCAAGTTGCAAAACAAGTGTGGCCATACATGCTTTCTATTGGCCTGGCATATTTTATCACACAATGTCTGTATCCAGGCATTTTAACTGAAGTTGCCAGTTGTACATATGGTAACTGGATGCCCATCTTTCTTATTGCTATATTCAATTCATCTGATTTATTAGGAAAGGTAAATCCTATTTTATCATCTAGGAACAGCTGTGAAATAAATTACCACTTATTAAACTAACTGTTCTTTCAGATCATTGCTTCTTGCTCATTTAACTGGAGCAGGGGCAATATTTTGTTCATAGCCGGGTCAAGAGCATGTATAGTTCCTTTGCTTTGGCTTTGTGCTTACCCTCGTGGCAGGCCTGCAATACCAGGAGAATATTATGCCATGACATTGTGCCTCTTCCTTGGTCTCACAAATGGTCTTGTTGGGAGTATTCCTATGATTCAAGCTCCAAGCAAGGTTCCTGAGGATAGACGGGAACTAACAGGTACATTAGAACAGGAAGTTTTCTTTGGAACATTTAACAAGCTATATTTCATCCTGAATTGTTTGTTGCAGGAAATATTATGACCCTCTCTTACAACATTGGGCTCACTGGTGGATCCCTCATGTCTTATATTCTTGATGACATGCTGGGACCACCAGTACCAAATGGTTGCACCATTATGCCTCCCATTATCAAGATGTCAACTGCTGCAACAAAACTCAATGCCACAGTTGTGGGAGCAAACCAATTTGCGCCTATTGGACCCACGAATGCCAGTATTATTTCAAGGTTATCATCCAACATCACAATGTCAAGTCCAACAATCCCAAGTACAATTGCAATGGTGGCAGCAACAGTCCTAACTGCAGCAACATCAACAATATCCTCTGTATCTGTTCAGTCAACAGCCACTGCAGTCACTTCCACTGCATCTCATTTCCTTAAAACCATGCAACCCTTAGCAAATGTCACAATTCACTAGACTTGGGCTTAAAATTTAATCCATAGAAGTGTATAAGTTGCAGCCCAGCAGCTTACTGTTTCATTTAATTTATATTCCATTCAGAGGGCTGTTAGCAGCGGATGGTGGAGAGAACTACAGCAATAAAGTCTGGAGAAACTATATAAACGTTGCTAGTACTTGCTAATCTAGCACCTTAGATTCAAAGTCAGTTCTTGTAGAATATCGTAATCAAAATCATTAGAGTTTTCCAGAACTAAAATAAATATTTTCTGTCTCATTTCTGAATGTTATAGGTGATTTTTTTTTTAAAGGGTCATTGAGGAGAATAGAGAGAAATTTTCTCCTACTTGATATGCAAGAAAAATGATAAGTACACTAAACTTCTATTCCAACTAACTGCAGCAGTCTGAGTAAATCTCAGGAAGGCCAAGAGACAAGATACTTCTGGTCTTCAAAGTAAATTAGAGGGTAGGGAACATATCAAGGTTAAACACAGCTGACAATTTTTTTTTCTTTTCTCATTTCTTAGTTGATAACTGAGAACTCTATTACCATCTTTCTGCAAACTGCAGCAATAGAGCCCTATTGACAAGAACCAAGCCATATTACCATTTGACTTTCTCGGTCCTACATATTAAGGATTCTAAGATTGAAAGAAGACATACATCGTGGATGAATTAGAAGCGTGACTGATGTTAGCACAATGATTTAATCCGTAGAATTTAAAAAGTTTACTTTTGAAAAGAAATTTAAGACAATACCAAACAAGAAAAAGCTCTCACTCTACTACAGTAGCATTTTTTAAAACTAGTTGGAGCTGAATCCAAAACAATTGTATTCTACAGCTGTTGGATATAAAATACTTTAGTTTTCTTACCGTTTAAATACAGTGACTGTGAAGCAATAATTGCTTTTCCTTCTGTGTGAATTAGACATCAACAAGAAAAGTGCAATATTGCAATGAATAAGAGAATAAAATATGGGAACTGTAACTATAGTTATAGTTAGATATGTAGCCAATAAGACCTCATAATGAAAGTGGGTGCCTTGACAATTGACAAACTTTTAAAAACAACCTTGACCTGGTACTTACCGTTCCATGAAAAAGAAATCTTCAAAATATATGAAATATATGACAAGAGAACCCACAATGTCTTCCAGCTAATTATGTGTATGTAATGCAATTTCTTTTGAGCGCATGCACATAGTATTCATAACCCTGCACTGACCTACCCTGATTAGGTGGAATTATGAAGTATGCTGTAAGGTGGGACATGTAAAAAGGCTATGTAATCTGTCTTACCTGTGATAAGCAGTAAATTCCACAATAAAGTCATTGTAAGTCCACTCTGTAATTTTTAAGGTGTACTCACACATGAGATAATTTCACAAACTAAGGGTAGAAATAAGATAAAAAGACATTCAAGAAAAGAAACACGTTTCATTAACACAAGAACTTAATATTCACTAGAGGTACAGCTGCAAGAAACACCAGATGAGTATTGTTTTAGCAATAATGCAGGATGACAACTTAAAACACAGTATAAATCTTATCATATTCAATAGAAAAATTTACAACCAATGAAAATACTAGCTTAGACACCAGAATATTGCATAATGTACACAGTGAAACATACATTACATTAGAGGATGGAACTGGATTGTGTGATCAAAATAATAGGCAGAAAAAAAAGATCCTTTCAATCCCAACATCTTTTGCATCAAAAGATATCTAGAAGACAGCACAGCAGCAACATGGTCACAAGCTATGTTCTAAAGTACTCATCTAAAAATCATCAGTACTTAACAAATAAAATTCTTTTTTAAGTTTGGGTACATGGTTGATGCTAAATTACTTTTCAGTTGAGAACAGGATACATTGAACAAATCCCTTCATAAAATCACAGATTCATAAGTTTTCAGTCAAAGAGAAAAGAGTCAAATTAGAATACACATACAATCATCTAAAATGCCTCAGCTTCAACCAATAATGTAAATACAATAATATCAGTAGCTTCCAACAACAGTAACTAGACAATCTTGAAAGACTTGAAGGAAAGGGTACATAAAATCACAATGAAAACCAAACAAAAGATCAAACAAGGCAACATTAGATAGTCACATTAGGATAAATTAAGATAAGAAATGTGCAGGGATGTAAATAACAATGACCTTAACATTTGCCAACATACTGCAAAATGGGCTCATCAGGACCATTACGGGGTAGTTTGGTCTACCCTAATATTGATTGCCTATCTGGTGCTTGACCAGCACAGCCACTTAAGAATGGCTGTAGCATTTGGCATAACTGTATTGATGAGACAGCGAGCATTTGGAGGCTGCTGTCTATCAGTGGCTGCTGGCTGCTGTATATGAAGGTGGTCCAAATTAACCAACTGTGGTCTAAATGAGCCAATCCCAAGATGCATTTAACTTCCCAATTAGTAGATTTTTAAAAATATTTATAGAGTGGACATGATGAAGAAGTCAACATGAAGAATACAATGAAGTTTCTTTTACCAATTACTACAATATTGATCTTAAAAAAATACCTTGTAGACAAATGAGGTCGATGTCATTTATTTCCAAAAGAGCACATCCTTGGGTAAAAAATATTGGATGTAAGTTATAATGTTAATACAGCATTTTGTACTATCTTCTTCATTTACTTAAAAGAAAAAAAAAGAGAACAGACATTAAAAACAAAAAAACATGAAAAAAGAAATCCTTTGGCAATGAGGAGTGAGGTGTTATCACAACACACCCCCAAATACAGTAACTCACATAAATGTTTCTTTACATAATCCATGAACCCATAATAGTTTCCTTGATAGCATCGATGTACTGTACAGGTACCCAATACACCCAGTACCGAGATGCTTCAGTTGGGCCCAGTTGAATTCCCTATAGATAAAAAAAGGTAAGTTAAAATAAATTAAGATGGTTCATTGTTGAATAATAACAATAATAATAATAATTTATACTCACTAAAATGTGATATTCTGCATGTCCTTCAATTGGTTCACTGACTACACTCCTGATAGAATTCATGGAAAGTTTCTGTGTTTGTTCTTTTGTACCAATCCATACTTGATCTAGTTCAAGTTTAAATGTTAAACGAACTTTTCCACCATATTTGTTAAGCATACCTGATAAAGGATATGGTGGCAATGCTTCCTGTTAGCAGAAAAAGGGAAAATCTAAAACACTGGTTTGAATCAGAGACTGAAAGGATCTTGGCACTGGCCTAGTTGAATTTTACCTTTGTATTTAAAATTCCGGGCATTACATCATCAGGTATTCCTTTATCAAGTACTTTCTGATGTATTTTTTGTTTACTCAATGGCTCCTTTGCGTTTGAACCACTTTTATCCTCGAGTTCCTAAGAAAATGTACCAAATAAGAGGAACATTGTAAGTCAAAAAATATGATTTTGATTAGGTTCTAAAAACTCTTTGAAACAAAAACGTTTACCTCCTTAGAGGGAGTTGACACAGACAAAATGTCATCAAGCTTCGATCCAACCAACATCACCTTACAGCCTTTAGTAAATCCTTGTTCACGAAGTGTAGCTGAATCTTTTGCTAGACCTTTGATCATCAGCTTTTGAGTTGTACGTGGAACACCTAACAAATGAAAATTGGAAAAAAAAGTACATAACAAGATAAACATTCTATTAAAATGAACAAAACTTCAACCCAAGTAGTGCAAACCTGTTATCATTTCTAAATGTTCTTTCAGCTGTGCTACTGTGTCATCTAGAGGGAAAGTAATGTCGTACTTGCTCTTACTGAAAATCACTTTGAAATCAACGTCTTCAGTGTTGGGAGAGTGATCAGGGCTTCTTGGACGGAAACTGGCAGAGTCCGAATCTTTACACGTCTGAATCTGTGAAGTGCATGCTGCACCTAGCTCTCCTTCCAAACTACTACAACCTGGTGTAACTGACTTTTGAGTTGAGCATCCTTGAATTCCTGATAAAGCTGAATCAATTACGTTGGAGTCAGCTGGAGAGTTCCCATTTGTAAGGTCACCTTGTTGAACTTGTTCTCCACAAGCACTGCTTGGTGGTTTTGATGATTTGCTGTCAACTTCATTGTCACCCTTATCAGTTCCCGCTGTAAATTAAAATATAAGATTGTGAATTCAACCATTCAGCTGGGATATAGCAGGTTTGCTCAAGCATGACCAAACAAGATAACATTCCAGATGTTATTTCTTTGATGGTTTATGGACAGCAACTCACCCATTTTTATTTTTTTTAAGTAATGGTTATTTGGCAAAAGAGACAGTAGTACAACTGTCAAAAACCTGAGACAGAGAACACAAAAACATTTTAACAATGATAGAAGTATAAGAAAGAGGGAGAAAGGGCAAGTTCTTCAAAGGAATTATAATTTAAAGAAATTTAATTTTGGGGAATGACATTAAGTGGTATTCAAATAGTACGTTTTTATTCATAGAGAATATCATGATAATGCATCAATGACAATGTATTTGCTCCTCAGCATATGAGGCCACTTCTATAAAAAATAAATACACTAGTGTAGTTCGTCAAGCTCCGATAGAAGTGCAACAAAGCGTTCCAAGGACCAAAACAGCAAGCCATCAAGGTACACACCGGTTAATGTAAAGGAAACGAGCGCATTTAGACTTAAGGGACACTTTCACGAACAATGACTAGCAGCAAACGAGCACTAGTAGAGGAGAGGGTACTAGCGAGCTGGCCCGAATGCACGGTGCCGAAACGCAGAACGGAGTTTTAAAATGAGTGTTCTGGTTGAAGAACAGACTTGTTCAACGTATAGTCTAAGGTTTGAACTACTCAACGAGCACTCTCATTTTACCAATAACGTTCCGGTTTAAAATATGTTCAAACTGTAAAAACACCCTTGTGCGTATGTCAAGGTGTGGCCCTCCGGTCTGCTTCCCCGTTCTCTCACCAGGAGCGCTGGTAGTGCTGTTTTGCTCCGCGCCGAGCAGAAAGCATCTGAGCTGTTTACCTCCCGCAGGCGGTCCGCTACTAACGTTACTTTTAACGTTTACATCTGTAAAAGTCCTTCTCTTCGGTCTCCAACCACTCCCTCATTAGGATAAATAGCTTAGTTTATATTTTGAAGAGCATTTAAGTTAGAAAGGTTATTATTTATACCTCGTGTGCGCTTATTTGTGGCTGGTATAACCTGAACATTCTGTGTCTCAGCAGCCTATAGCGAAGTTTAAAATAACGATTGCAAGTAAAAGGGCCTTGTTCACGACCCGAAAGTGCTCTGCTTGAGTGTAATACACCCTAAGGTTTAAGTAAAGTGTGTGCTTTACTTTCATAAGGTTCTACAGTGGCAGCTGTATTCTGCATTTCTGGAGAATGCAGCATACCTTTCTATCTCACAGAGACACTTGTTTTGTAGTATAGTCATATTCTTGTTTAGTAGCAACCTTCTCTATCTTTTTATTTTTTACCACAGTTAGGAAATCACAGGAAAAGAAAAGAAAACCATAAGACACTCTGTCCTTTGCAAATAACGTATCAAATATTGTGACCAGGGAGTATCCGATGGTTAGCGGATATGATCATATTTTGGATTACAGTTAGGGTAAAAATGTTTGTAACAACAGGTTTTAATTTCAAATTAATATGCTGCTATTTCAAAACATACCAAATTCTTTAATACTTTTTAGTTGCACTTTAAAGATGTTTTTTGGGTACCTTTACTACAATAGTCATAAAAAATTAAGTTTTTAATTAAAGATGAATACTGTGATTTAAGAAAACTATAAAGTTATCAATGGTGACGAATGTTGGGGAGTGAATAAAAATACATTATGGACTGACTCGTTAGGCTCGGGTATCCTATGGGTAATATTGTCTTTAAAAAAGCACCATATCTTACCCTTATTTTGCTGTGTAAAATAAGGTACTCCACATATTAAGGTCATTTTTTAAAAAAACTAGGGTCACAGATTTTATGATAAAACCTTAAATTTCCTCATTCCATAAGAGGGAGATGGGGAGGGGGGGAATTTTACGGAAATCTAAGAATGTTCGTATAGTGAAAAATCAAGAGTTCCTAAAGAAATTAGGACTTTCCCTTTGAAATGTTTAGAGGTCTGTTGAGAACAAAATTTAAAACACTTTTACTACTATTTCAGCTCCAAGCTTAACCATCAGAATGGTGTCAATTAACCCACACTCTCCCCTTCCCCTTTTGTTTCATTGTTATTCGCCCCATGGTGTACCACATTAGGAAGCAAAATTTGAACGAAATAGGTTCAAACAGACAAAGGTGGACAACATTTCATTTCAAATATTCGGTGCTTGCCGCGCTTGTGCGCGCGGCGACTGCAGCGCCTCAGTAGCCAGCGCGGCGACTGCTGGAAGTAGACCCGAGGGCCACAGCTCGCCATACGCCTGGCCAAGAACCCTCTCCTCTACTAGTGCTCGTTTGCTAGCAGTAGCCATAGGTTACGGGTGATGATAAAATAAACGCAAGAACGTTATAGTAGCTATTGTCAAATAACACAAAAGTTAATTAATGAACACTACCTCACGAACTACCGCTGCGTTTCGTTAGGACGATAAATTCTTCTACCTAATTGCCGAATATAACACCGTATTCTGGTACAAAATAGAACAGAGAGAGATCAGAAACTTTCAGCAGATGGCGCTGACATTCGCCCCGTTCCCCGTTTTTGTCTGTTCTGTTTTCCCTTTTGGAAAATGTTCCAACTATTACGTGAAATTTAAACTACCGCGGGATTAAGATTTAGAAAAAATATCGCTTATTTTATGAACAGACTTGAATGATATGCATAGCGTTTGGATTTCCTTTCTGTACAAGAAAACCGTAGTTTACCGAAGAGAATATTTGGTTTGATCCGTTGGTCAACGTGTATTGTTTACTTTGGTTTCCGCCCCGAAAAAACCATCGCATTGCTCTATGTGCTTGACTTTAGTTTCAGGTTTTATTTCAGGTATAATTTGTCGTTATTTTTTGTCGTTACGACTGTGCAGCCATTCTTGCATGAAGTTCATTCGACTTTCTCCCGAACTGCATATTCGTAAGATCTTTTTTTAACTTTCCAATTTATGTATTGCGTACATATGGGTTCACAAATGGCGCTGAAAACGGCCGATCTACCTAAACCCAATTTCGTTCTCATTTTAAATTCTGCCCGTCATTACCTTCTTACGCACTGAAATACATCAGTTTTATTAATATTGTTGGTAGATTAAACGGTGTGCTTCATTTATGTTGTGATTTTATTCTATTCGCGTGCCATTACTAAATGCATACCTAACCTTGACGTAGTGTTGTTGTCAAACACTCACCATGTAATTTTCTGCAGGTTTCAGCTCGTTTTCGTGGACATCACAGAGCCATGGCCGATAAAGGTCAAAATCCGTCAATGTGGCAATATCCTCCATACCCTCCTTATGGTCAAGGGTATCAGGGGTAAGTGTTTACTTCTCTCAACCAAGTGTCAAATCATTCATTATGATGGTAATTGCAATGGCTCACCACATTCCTTCCTTTTAACAAGGTATGGCCAACCAGGTTATGGCTACCCTAACCAGTATTATGGTATGCAGCAATATCAGCAAGGCATGGGCTATCCTTATGGCGGTGGATCAATGGGCTCTCCAGGTCAAGGGCCTCCTTTACCTCCGGGTCCTCATGGATCACCAATGCAGGGTAAAATTCCTCTCAGACCATGATTTTAAATGTACAGTTTATAATGTTTGGCTATCGTGAAAGATCGTTTTTCTTATGAGACATTATTTACAGGATTTACCCCTCCTGGTGGTTCTAAAGAGGCTGATCCTGAAGCCATGAAAGATGAAAATAATGGAAAAACCCAATTGAGCTCTGCCTCACCAGGTGCTCCGCCAGGTGAAGAAGAACTTATTCCACTCCCATCAGGTACCCCACCCCCACCATCCAATGGGTTACCCCCTGGATTTTCACCACGGCAAAATAATTTCTTTCCAAACCAAGTTCCCAACAACCGTAAGCACATATTTTTATTGACAAAAATATTTTCATGTTTCCAAGTTGCTTTATTCATTCGCGCCTTTTTCTTGAATACTTGAAAAAATTCTTCCAATAATTTGATATTTCTCCCTTTCTTTTTTTTTTAGCTTTTGCTCCTATTAGATTCAACATCAACCATAAAAACAGAATGCAGTATCCGTTCAACCAAAACAACCAGCCAGGGGTTCACCAAGGGCAAAGACCTAATGCTCCAAATAACCCAGCCGCCCTACTGCAGCCGAATGCTATTGGACAACCTGGACAACCTATGATGAGTAAGAAGAAAAGGAAACGTGCCAAACAACTAGCTTTACAGGCGGCGGCTGCTGCTGCAGCTGCTGCGGCTACCAACACTGGAGGGTCAACATATTCTTTTGTCAAGAGCTTTGAGCCCCTAACTTCTGTTGCAAATCCTAATAACATCCCTCCTTTGCCTCCAAATCCTCCTCCTCCTGACAATCCTCCACCATTGCCTCCATTACCGGAAGAACCGCAGACCCCGTCTGCTCAACCACCTCTACCACCTGCTGGAGTAGGAACTACTCCCCCAGCGCCTCCAGCGGCTCCAGCAGGGGCTGACACATGGCCTGAAAGTCTAAAGTATGGTTCATCAATTTTTTAAATTTCACATTTAATTTTGTAACAACTTAAATTTGGACTTAAACCTTTGCCCAAAGTTTTATTTTCATATTTTTTCTTTCTAGAAACTATGTCAAAATGTGCTACGACAGGTGCAAGACAGGTGTTGATAAAGATAGGGTAGAAATTATTTTAAAAGGTAAAATTATGAGTGCAACAAATAAGAAGACACTTTGGACCAAAAACTGGGAAGAGGAGGAACTGCCAAAGTAAGTTTGCTTGTTATTGTGTGCTACGTGGGGTCTGTCCAAATTGTCTACATAATTTCTCTTGCAGGTTATCTGCAGATCTCCTCCCCTCTCCCAGAAATTTTGGCAATATGCAAAGGAACAACATTGCAAAGCCTATGACACCTAACCGTGGTATAGCTGCTCGTCTCAGCTTGGGTAACAAATTCAATAAGGGTCAAATAAGACGCCAGTCAAGGCGTAGCTCAAGTTCACCAAGTCCCTCTCGCTCGAGGAGTAGATCACGGTCTCGTAGAAAGTCAAGATCACGATCTCATTCTAGATCACGCTCTCGATCAAGGTCACGCTCTGATTCCTCCCATAGCTCTCACAGGAGAAGAAAAAGGAGGTATGTGTATGGTTTATCTTTGCTGCTCCTGTTGTTGAATTTAGTGTTTACTATGATCTTAAGAAATTCACAGTGCTTTCTCTTGCTTCTTTCAGCAGCAGTTCTTCAAGCAGTGCCGATGATTTTAAGTCATTAAAAGTTGGGAAGGGCAGAGCTCAGCGTGGCAGATTAGGAGATCGCCTTAGCTTCCCAGGGAAAGGCAGAGGTGGTACTGTAATGAATAAAAAAGCAAAACACCCCAAAGGGTATGTTTATTTTTGAAGCACTGTGCTATGTTGCTTATTATATCTTTGTGATTTCTGACACATTGGATCTTTGGCTGATTTAATTCCAGTGTTCTGAAATCTCATTTCTACTCTGAGTTTGGTGGCAATACGGAAGAGCTTGGCAATTCTGAACAACTTCAAAAGAGAGCTGCTCGATTTAGTGCCATTACCAGATCACCATCAAACCCAACAGCTCTTTTGACACCTCAAAATAATCGTCACAAACGTATCAGTATGAGTAACAAATTCTCAGAAGATACTGAAGGGGACTTTGACCTTACAGAATGCCATGTTGTTGGTACATGTCAGGAAATAGAGAAAAGATATCTTCGCTTAACTTCTGTAAGTTGTGAAAATGTACCTATTGCATTGTGTCAATGTACCTATTGCAGTCTGCATCTCTAAATTCTTTTAACTTTTGTTCTTGGCTTTTAGGCTCCCGATCCATCTCAAGTACGCCCTGTGGAGGTGTTAAAAATCGCTCTCAATAGAGCAAAGGACAAATGGCTCAAAAGTGAAGATTACCATGCATCCTGTGATCAACTTAAATCTATACGTCAAGATCTTACTGTAATTCTAATTTTTTAAAATAATTTTATGTCGGTTTGTCATTTATTTTTGTTTCTAATATCCAATTTTTACGCTGTAGGTCCAGGGAATAAGAGATCAATTTACTGTCTATGTTTATGAAACACATGCTCGTATCGCCATGGAAAAAGGTGATCATGAAGAATTCAACCAATGCCAAACACAACTGAAGATGCTTTATGCTGACTTAGGTGGTGAAAATGTGAATGAATTTACAGCCTATAGAATACTGTATTATATCTTTACCAAAAACAATTTAGGTATGAGTCATTAATAACAAATGTGTGTCATTCTTTGAAATGTTTTTTACTGTACTTTGCTGCTATTTTGTATTGTCCTTTCTGTTAATAGATCTTACAGTAGTCATGGCATCCCTTACTCCTGAAGCTGAGCAACATGATTGCATTGCCCATGCTCTCAATATGCGTTCAGCATGGTGGCTTGGAAATTATCACAAGTTTTTCAAGCTTTATAGAGCTGCCCCTAAAATGGCTGCATATTTAGTTGACTGGTTTGCTGACCGCGAGCGGAAAGCAGCAATCAAGATCATGATTAAATCGTACGTATTAACTCTTTCAGATTTATTTGTTTTTATTTATTATCCTTTTTTATGCATTGGGGTGGGGCTTGGGTCAAATAACCTGTTACATTTCAATCAAAGTGAAACATACTATCAAAAGGTACAATGTATTACTTTGCAGGTAAGGAGTATCTATTTAAACAACAGGTGCTGCATTTCTGTTTACAGTGTTGATTAGTTTTTGTTAAATTTGAAGTAGCTTTTACTGTATTTATTTTTTTCCCTCAAAGCTCAGTGTCAGATTTGGAGGAATATGTACAGCATTTTTACCCTTAATCCTTTTTTTTTTCCTTTTTTGTTTTATAAATTAGCTCTTCTTGGATATTAATTTGTGGCGGTGAAGTTTCGTTGAGGGGTGAAGACACTACTAGAGGTAGTTTGCGAGGATGCTGCTAATGCTTCTCTCTTTCTGTTACGTCTTTAGCTATCGTCAACATTTGCCAGTCAGTTTCGTGGCCGCAGAATTGGCGTTCGCGTCCGAGGAAAAGTGTTTAGAATTTCTTACCCCATTTGGTTTCACATATGCTGACATTGAAAGGACCAAGATAGATTGCAAGGCTAGTTCAGCTGTCCTTACAAGTTTTTGAGTCCTTGGCTGTTGGATGAATGCTGCATTTGCATGATTGTTAGCATTGTCTGTGTGCCAAACAAATTTTAGACCAGGTTTTGATGAACTTCTTTTAATGAACATAGAAGGAATCAAGGTCTTAATATACAGCCTCAAACCCCATACATATGCACATTGACAAGTATGTCGTATCTTTACATTAAAATTAACACAATCATGCCAGAGATAAATGTCAGAAAAAATTGTGGAACAAAGAAGTGGGTGAAGAGGACCAGAAGATCTCAATCAAGAACAGAAGAAAGAAGCCAGGAAAAATTGTAATGAAGAAGATGGGGTACTCATTATTTCTGCTGGAACGCATTTTGTTTAGCAACTCTTAATACAGTTGTTGGTTGGAAATTTACCAACTACACAATCACATTCAGAAAGAAGAAACAAAAAAGCTACAAGTCATTGATGGATAAGATAAAATTATCCTCAATAATGATGAATGACGAATGAAGAGGACTTAAAATTTTGGAGAATGGCCAACCCCTCCATAAAACCAGTATCAAAACTGAGATCAGCTTTCAAAATTCGTCAATCCCCTCTTTCACGATTTTTCTGCAATTTTTATTACTTTCCTCTGTTACTTCCCCACACCACTCCCCTCCTCTCTTTTTTTCACTTTTTCACAGCATTTTAGTAGTGCAACCACTGCCAATCACTACACTGGCTTCCAAGGAATCTTCCAGTATCTTGTGGGATACATGAGCTGCCAACACACTGCTTGTCTGCAATGAATTGAATATTGAAGAGGAACGTCTTCCATTAGAAGCAAATCAAAGGACAGAAGATTTTAGGTTCGGTTTTCGCGTTATTGCAATGTTCTCTCAACATAGTTATACACCCACTCAACATTAGGAATCTGCCTGGGCCATTTATCAGAAACCGAACAGTTTGTCCTTCAAACCTCCCAAACAATGGGTAAATTCTTCAACAACCTTCACTCTTTTGCCCTGTTATAAACAAGTAGCAAGTCTTTTCCCCACTTTTTTTTTGTTCTGCTTTATTTGAGTTCTTGTCAGTGCACTTTCATACAAGAAACATGAAAAAAAAAAGAGAAACAAAGAAAAAGACTGGGGAAGGATATGTTTTACGGCCTCATTGCAGAATGAGAAGATTTGGAAGAAGAGGGTACTTTAAGAGAAGAAGGTTCCAAGAGTGAAGAGATTTTCATTGAAGAATAACTGTTTCTCGAGCCGCCTGATTTCGCTTGGACTTGTGCCCATCTGACGATATTGTGCCACACGGGTTGCTCTGCTTCGTGATACCCCATCGTTGTTTTCACACAGGTCTTTGATCAACGTTGTTCTCTCAACTGCTTTAATGTAGGCTTTGGATTATTTCTCGCACTATAGTGTGTTTTCCAGTCCCTTGCAGATCAAATGAAGGTGAATGAACCAGTCTTTAACTAAAAGGAGTCACCTTCATCACAGCTTCCTACCACCAAAGCCAAGAAGCCCAAGCCCAGGAGGATATATGTAGAACTTCTCAGAGATCTTCCAAATTGTGCCCTAATTTTATACGAAAGAAACCTCTTGTTATAGTTGGTAGTTCTGTCATACCATCAATCCATTTCAGAGGATCTTCCACTCAGGTCTGGATATGTATATTAAGAATGTGAGACTTGCCCATCTATTTCAGAAAGTCTCAAAACAGACCAATTTCAGTTCATTATTAATGAAAAAGCTATTTTATTGGTTAATTTTTATGCAATGGTAATTTTTTTCATATTGTATTTAGTATTATGAACAGTTTTATCTGACTTCTTGCTAATACTCTAAGTAAAGTTATTTTTGTAAAGATTTTGAAATTGAAGTAATTTACACATGTCTGGGTTATTTGACAAGTTCAGTTCTGGTTGTATGCTGCTGCATGGTTTTCTGTTTATTTCAGTTAAAGGGAGTTTCTTTGATTGTGACTTGTTGTATCCGAAGAGACCCACGCTGTTGAGTACTTTTATAATTCAGCTCAAATTCACGAGAATAATTCTCAATATTTATGAAGATTCTTTCAGTTCATTGTTTTTATTTTTTGTATGTTTAGTTTTGTTTTTCTTTTCTTTACAAAAGGTTATTATAAATTGGAGACAGGTTCAGTGACAGATGATAATATTTTATCAACTGAGCAACTGAGTCATGCTGCTCTTTTTTGATTATATGTACTCATGGATTTAAAATCCATGAATCTGATTTATCTAATTTCTTCATTCTAAAAGGTACAAAAAAGTGCCAATTACGTGAGTCACCGATTATTGATTACTTAGTAAGATTTCTGGATATCTACGTTCAGTTTGTGTCTTTGGCATGTTAAATATGTGAAGTAAACAACATTCCATGTTAAAGTACTTATGATCCAAAAAAGTTGTAACAGGTAATTGATTCACATTTTGCAAGTTGATATTCTTTACATATAGACCTGAGATGGGTAACTCGGAAAGTGGATTGTTGTTATGAGTTAAACGTACCTACCTCTCAAAAGTATCCATGGTGTAGTTAAGGATAATCTGTTTTTTAAATATTTTAAAATCAATTCTACATCTGCTGGACAGCTTTAAAATTATTGCATGCAGATTGTGGGAGGCATTTTTGTGTCAAGGTAAGTCTCCAATCGAGATTATGTATGTGTTGCATTTCAACATGAACTTTTAGAGAAGCCTTTATTCTTAGTCATATACTTTTTATTTATCTTGCCAAAATTGTAATTTTGTACAGAGTTTTGGTATCTGTAATCTGTGATGCATGTTGACATTGTTTTGATTAATAGTTAAGAAACCATTAGTAATAAATATGGTAAAACAATTAGTGTAAGACTTATTAATATCAAATCCTGTGAGATCAAGAACTCACAAAGAGCAGAGTTCTGGACTGACACACATTTTGCAGTAGACTGGGTGAGCAGTCTGCAGAGGTCAGATGGTTTCTGTTGATTGAGAACCTGAGACCGGTGATAGGAGATTTTTGGAGACCGTCTGGCCGTGAGGTGAGCGATCGGGAAGCAACCCATTGTAAACACAAACAAACAAAAATGAAACATAAGAAAAGGATCGGAAAACTGATCTACATTCTCCCGGTGTGACTAAAACTAGATACGTAAGACCAACCCTAACTTTTTCTAGCTTTTCAATTTTTTAACCACCTTGGGAAGTTGAATATTCAGACCTAGTGTACTTAGGAAGCTTTTTCAGTTCAAGCTCTGGTGTTTTTTTTTTTTTTTGTAGAAGGTTCAAAAAGACAACAACCAAAGAAAAGGGGTAAATATATTTTTTATCACACATAATGTGGCTCTACAAACAAACAAAAAATAGAAATGTAATATCAACTCCCTTATAACTAAGATGAATCTTCAACTGATATACAAACTTGTAATTTCTTTTCTTTTATATGAAGAAAAAGAATTAACAAAAAGTATTACACACACATGAACAAAAGCTGAAAGTTGAAGTGAAACTGAACTATGAACACCACATGAAAGATTATGACAGTGAATCACAAGAACTGATCTTGAAAAATCAGTTTTAGTCTGTTACCTTTTTAAAAACTTCAAAACGCTATCAGCAACAGTTAAATAAAACAAAATTGACAAAATATTTTTATTTTTACCAATTTTATTCCACAATGTTAGTTTTATCTGACTTCTTGCTAATACTCTAAGTA